ACCGCATGGCTACCACTTCCAGCCCCTCCATGGCTACCTCCATGGCCACCAGACCCTCTCCGTGGCCACCGGGACCACCCTGGCCACCGGAAGTGGCATCACGGCCACTGGAACTGCCGTGGCTACCAGCATGGCTACCACTTCCAGCCCCTCCATGGCTACCTCCATGGCCACCAGACCCTCTCCGTGGCCACCGGGACCACCCTGGCCACCGGAAGTGGCATCACGGCCACTGGAACTGCCGTGGCTACCAGCATGGCTACCACTTCCAGCCCCTCCATGGCTACCTCCATGGCCACCAGACCCTCTCCGTGGCCACCGGGACCACCCTGGCCACCGGAAGTGGCATCACGGCCACTGGAACTGCCGTGGCTACCAGCATGGCTACCACTTCCAGCCCCTCCATGGCCACCTTCCGGAGCCCACAGAAGCCACCAGGTCCCTGGGGGACCCCAAACCCTTGCCAGGGCCACCCCAAAACCCCCTCCAGGGGGGGCAGAGACCCCACAGGAGCCACCAAGTCCCTGGGGGGCCACCAGGTCCTTTGGGGACCCCCAAGTCCCCCTCTAGGGCTACCCCACAGACCCCCATGGCAAACAGAGACCCCACAGGAGCCACCAGGTCCCTGGGGGGCCACCAGACCCCCCTCTAGGGCCACCCCATGGGGAGCAGAGACCCCACAGGAGCCACCAAGTCACTTGGGGACCCCCAAACCCCCCTCTAGGGCCACCCCATGGCAAGCAGAGCCCCCCAGAGGCCACCAAGTCCCTGGGGGGCCACCAGGTCCTTTGGGGACCCCAAAACCCCCCTCTAAGGCCACCCCATGGGGAGCAGAGACCCCACAGAGGCCACTGGGCCCTTGGGGGACCCCAATTCCCACCCCATGGGGAGCAGAGACCCCACAGAGGCCACTGGGCCCTTGGGGGACCCCAATTCCCACCCCATGGGGAGCAGAGACCCCACAGAGGCCACTGGGCCCTTGGGGGACCCCAATTCCCACCCCATGGGGAGCAGAGACCCCACAGAGGCCACTGGGCCCTTGGGGGACCCCAATTCCCACCCCATGGGGAGCAGAGACCCCACAGAGGCCACCAAGTCCCTGGGGGGCCACCAGACCCCCCTCTAGGGCCACCATATGGCAAGCAGAGACCCCACAGA